AGAAATGGAGTAGTTTTGTATATAAATTCCCAGCTAAAACCAGAATTTGTATTGACCTATGAGCATGGTAGATTTGTTGGGGTAGAAGTTAATTTGTATGGGACTAAGACTTTGATGCTGGGAATTTATGCCCAGATGAGAACAACGTATTGTTTTAAAAACAACTTATAGAGAGATCAATAGTTTTCTCTTATGAAAATTGGTATTTGATGGGAGTTTGGAATGGAGTGATCTTCTGACAAGTGGACAGAAGTTCTGAGAAAAATATTAAAATCACTGAGGGCAAATTACCAAAAGTTTTCTTTCATCTGATGGACAATTTAGGGCTGGTGTTATATGGAGACAGAAAAATGGCAATTCAAGAGAGGATACCTAATTTTCTGAATGGCATAGATGGTAATTAGATGAGTGTAATAATTTCATGATACTGGAAAAGTTGATATATTTATTTAGAATAGATTTCTACATAGTTTTGGGTTTGAAATCTGTCCCAACATTCATGGAATTGTACGGGGCTAAGACTTTGATGCTGGGAATTTATGCCCGAATGAGGACAACGTATTGTTTTAAAAACAACTTATAGAGAGATCAATAGTTTTCTCTTATGAAAATTGGTATTTGATGGGAGTTTGGAATGGAGTGATCTTCCGACAAGTGGACAGAAGTTCTGAGAAAAATATTAAAATTTAATTCACAATTGTAATTGTGAAATCCAATAGAAAGCTTATGTGTGGAGAGTGGAGAAGATGACCTTCAGAGAGAGGAAAGATTTGTTACCAAGACAATGAAGAGAGAAACATGGCTTAATCTCATACAAGGTAGAGATTTATGAAACGGCCTAAGGCAGGCACCCCCCTAGTTCTCATGAAGATAAAAGAGGGAGGAAGGGAAGCCGTCACCAACCAGGAGGGGCATGGATCTAAAATATAAGTGGACACACCCATAGCTCCAAGGATCCTATTCACTTCCTCAGGGCCAAAAGGATCAAACTCTTTCCAGATAATCACATAAGACTGTGCCTCAGCCAACTTCACAGGACCTGCACAAGCGGAGTTCAGCTCTGAATGAAATCATGCCAACAAGATCATACTATCTTTTAGTAGCCTTTAAAATCACTGCTTTACAACTTTGTATAGGTTCTTTATATTTTCTCTGAACGTTTCTATTGCTATTTTGAACACTGTTCGTTAACATATATTTTTCAATTCAAATAATAATAACAATAACAATAATAAAAACCACATTATTGAAAGGCAGTCTGTGTCCACATGAAGAACATCATTGTGTGGAAAAAGGATATGAATAAAATACTATTAATAAATAAAAGGAGAAGAGAATGTGATCTATTCTGAATACTACATTTTCACTGGTAAATATTGCAAACAATTGTGATTCGGCTTACTGAAACTTCACTGCATAATTAACACAAACCAGTGGATAGGACAATTTGAAGCACTTCAGGGAGAAGGTCCCCAAACCAATGTTTTTCTCAGTAGAGTTCTCTTCTCCATTATTCCAAAGAGAGTTGAAGGAAACATTATTGTCTGCAGAAACAGAAAGCTGTAGAGTTACTGAAGCTTGGAGGAAAATATCTAAATTTCTTCAGAGCAGCAAAAGGATGTTAGTATCACTTGCAAAGATCTGCAATCAGAAGCTTGAAAATTATGGCTATTTTAAAATGTGATACATGCTATGAAGCTGGAAGAAAACAAGTGAGTTTGATCATCAAAAAGACAACTATAGAAGTGTTGTCTTTTATTGG